AGCCAGCAACTTTTCCTCAGTGGCAGCGAAAGCATGTGTAAGTGCCAGACAACTGTAGTCCAAGTCCAAGTCACAAGCAAGGCTTTCTTTTTATCTTCTCAGTCCTAGAGTCCAAATTGACCAACTCAAAAATATACACATCAGACTAGAAAATCATCAGCCTCTAAGGGTCAGACATTTGATTTCAACACGGGCTCATTAGCAACTTAACTGCTTTTTCAAATTCCAAATGTGTAGTTCCATCTAGAGATTGCCTCTCTTTTCATGTCTCCCTCCTTCCAGAGGCTCTAACAGGCACAAACCACAGCAAAAATCATCTGTTACAGAGACTCATTCTAGTTCCAGTACCCAAAGAATTTAATTATAACCTATCCACTGGTGACAAAAAGGCAAGAAAATTGTATCCCACTGAAACCTTTTTTCATTTATGAAATTACAAGCATATAGCATTTTAAATCTATTTTCTCATATATCCAGATGCAACAGACACAAAATATAAAGCCATGTTTTAAAAAAGATTTCCTTTTCACACATTGAAAATTTAATCAAACCCCTAGCAGTAAATTCAGCATTGATAGGATTAACATTACAAGCCTGCACTGTAAATCTTTTCTGCACAGGCCCCCCTCTAGGAACACTTCTCCAACCCCAACCTAGGGTATCCATATCATAAGGCAGGATTTTTAAGCAATGGAATCAACCAATAAAAACAAGTTAGAGTGTTTTATATTCACACATTCAAAGGCCTGTTGGGGCCCCACTGCGTGTATGTTTTACTTGCTCCATTTAGAAACATCTATTAAAAAATGATGAAGCATTTAGGAAAATGTCCCTAATTCCCTTATGTCCTTTAATTAGCTGTGTTCATTTTTTCATATTCTTCCAGTCCTTGTCAACATGGAGTTTCAATTTTATGTAGTTGCAATTATGGTGTATTAATACAATCTATCTACTGAGTATCAATAATAACAATACTAATAGTGAACCCTTACTGAGCATTTACCAGAAACAAGGCTAAACTAAGAGCTTCTGAGAGATGATCTCATTTACCTTGGGTTACTTACCAAAGGTTATACAGCCAGGAGGCAGTAAAGCTTGAATTCCAACCCAGCTCTGCTGACTCCCAAGCACACCACCTGCACACTGCCTCTCGGGCCTTCACTGTCAGTTTGGCAGTCCCTAAATCCCAGACATGTTTATTCACTCACTCACTCACTCCCTACCAAAAAACAGTATCGTTCAAATTCATGGTCTAAAGAACCCTGGGTTCCAAAGCCAGCTGCTCTCCTTACTAGCTGTGTGACCTTAAGCAAATGATTTAACCTCTCTGTGCCTCAATTTCCATGTCTATAAAATGGGTATAATTACAGTGCCCATTTCCCATTTGATCTAGATGATGTGCATATCTCCTAAGGTTCTTGAAAAGAGATTCTGCAAAGGTACTGTCAGCACCTCAGACAGTACCAGGCACATGGTTATGTCAGTTGTTGCTGTTGTTACTGAAATAAAGAAGAACCTGTCCGTATTCCCAGGAAGCTCAGAGTCTGACAGACCTTTTCAGTTCCTGGGCCTGTCATGTTTCCTTATGTTCCCCAACTTCTCTGGCCCTACTTCCTTACGCTCTGGCTGCTCCTCTGGGAAATCAGAAAGAGCACTCAGCAGACACCAAAGGTTAAGATGAACACAGCTGAAAAAGGACAAGAAAAATCATGGCTCTCACCAGCCAGAACAGTATGCCGAGAGGCCTCCTTAGGCACCAAGACCCCTTCTTAATAGCTGAGAAACTTCTAAGGATGTGTTAAATAGAAGCAATGTTTGTCTGATTAATTTCAAGTCTGCCGTTACCCAGATGGGTCAGTGACTAAGAAAGTAACTGTGGCCTTGGGTCCAGTGGGAATTAGTTCATATAGAAGTAACTAATTCAGAAGCCACCACCGACCCCATCCAACCACAACAGATCTGTGCAGCCATACAAAACAGAATCAGTCAACAGGAGTCAATCATTCAACTTTGTTCCCTGCACCAGGGATCCTGCAGCATGAGACTTACCTGGAACTGGAGTGGGGCCAGGTGTGGGGCTCATATATGGTCGATCCCTCTGTTAAGCATGTGCTGAATAACCCAGAGGCTCATGCCTGGCTCCTCAGGAAGTCTCAGCTAGTGTGGGCTCAGGAAAGATCACAGATACCTGAATAAAATTCTATCTAGACCCTGACAAGGGACCCTCCATAAGGTGCTATGGGAGCCATAAGGATGCATTTACAGACAAAAGACCATCCTCCAAATGGCTCTTTATGAACACCCCACTTTGGCTAAGCAACATCCTCCCTCTGTCCCCTAATCCAGGCCCAGTACCCCATCAGGAGTTCCCTTAGAAGGTACCTCCCAAGACCAGGAGTAACGAGAGATAGGGCAGGGGGTAAGGGTAGGCAGGGAGAGAGAAGAAAGTGAAGATATCCACGGAAAGGGAAGAGACCTGAACTGGACACCTGATGATTTTTCCTGCCCCAGCACCCTTTTGTCTCTTCTGGTAATAATGCTCTCCACCACAACCAACAGGTAGCAACTCAGTCCCTGTGGGTACCTGCCCAGGCCTAACCAATCAGTGTATTCCATCTTCCTGGCCACAGTGATGACTTGAAGTTGGATACATCCCTGGTATGGACCAAGGAGAACCAAATCCAGGGGGTTTGTCATTGAAAGGGACTTTCCCCCAATAACTGGAGACATGGGGTCACCCTGTGAAGCCTGAGAGTAAAGCCAACTCAACGGAAAGCAGAGCCAAGAGCAGAAGACAGATCCCTGATGACACTGTTTTGAGTCCTGGGATCCAGCCTAAAGCCCAGTGTAGCCCTGGCCTTTTCATCTACATGAGCCAATAAATCCCCACTCTGCCCTAAGCCAACAGGAAACAGGCCCAACCATGGTCTTTCTCATCTGCCTGCTCTTCTGGGAGTATTCTGAGGACAAGAGACTTTTTTCTCTGCGGTTATAAAAGTGTCTGATGGTCTGCAGTCGGGATGTGAATTAGAAAAAAAAAAGTGGTGACAGAATGTCCCTGGGGTGAGAGCCACCATGGAGACAGAGTCCAGCTGGGACTGACAACTGTCAACACACTTTCAAACAATATCAGTACATAATTATAGACTCATTTACTGTTTGTAGAAGCTATTGTTTTTGTCTTCCTAGCACCTTGTTTTAGTAATGAACTCTGCTGTTTCCCCACCATGGGAAGATGGAGAAAAGATCATGACCCAGACTGGGTAAATCATAGGGCCAAACTCCCTTGACCACAGTGATTGACCCAAGAGGGCATGGTACTCATGACAAACCACTGAGAACTTTCTCTGGGACTTTCCAGATTAGAACTGGAAGGGGAAAAAACCTTTCTTTAAGGGTCACCAAGCTGGAAGGATGCAAGTCTGGAGCTATTAACTGTCATGTCCCCAAATGCATGGAGAAAGCCCACTTGCAGTAGGAGTAAATGAAGGCAATACAGAGGTTTGGTTGAGTTTGCTTGCTGTCTCCCAATGTCCATTCTGCTGCTCTCTGTTTAACTACTAGAACCTTCCTCCTCAGAGTGCTGGCTGCCCAACTAGAGATTTAAATTTCTCTGTAAATTACAGAGATGTAAATGTACAGCTTCCCTTATAGCTTAATGTGGCCATATGACAAAACAGTAGGAATCTGGGTGCCTGATGACATCCTGGAGCCCAGCCACTTACCTGCCCTGGACCACTTGCCTATCTCCACACTGTTAGGTGAGAGAGAAATAAACTTTTTTTTTTTTGTCTTTTTTCGTGACTGGCAATGGATCGCAACCCTCAGTGTCGCGCCCGTACCGGACCGGGACCGGCAACGGGATCGCAACCCTCGGCGTTGCCCCCGCTCCTCGCTCAGCCAGTGAGCGACCGGTCTGTATGTGGGATCCGAACCCTCGGCGGGAGCGCCGCCACGCTTCCCAAGCGGCGCACTGTAGCAGTGCGCCACCGGGCCGGCCCCAGAAATAAACTTCTAACTTGTCTGAGCCACTGTATTTTGGTGGTTTCTGTGTTACAGCAGCCCAGTCTGTACTTTTATTAATGTGAAGGTGAAAAACGAATAAAAAACCAAAAGCCCTGGTGAAGTTTAAACCTGTGGATACAGTTGTCCCTGTAATAAGTTATTGTGTACACAGTGCTTTGTAAGTGCCAAGAAATGTCCTTAATATTTATATATAGTACCTCATTTAATCCACACCAACTTTCTCAGGTGCTGTTGTTATTCCTGCTGTACAGTTTAGGATACTAGGGCACAGAGAGATTAAATAACTTGGCCAAGGTTCAGATTATATTGCCACTCAAGCTAGTGTTTTCCATGATTTGTTGTGTAAGCCAATAATACTCCTTTTTTGCCTAAACTGGTTCAAGCTGGATTTCTGTCACTTGCCACAAAGCTTTCTAACTGGATTTTTGTCTAATCTAGTTTGCATATTCCTCTATAGAATGCCAACTGCATAATACAAAAATTTAAGACACCATGTAATGATCGCAAGTATAGTTCTCCCAGGAAACCTGCTCTCATTCAACTAGTCAGACCACAACTGTAGCTCCAAGACATAGGGGCACATTGCAAGGAGCCATCTTCTCAGAGGAGACACTGGGCCGATGGCAGACTCTGTTGGATGGCTCATCCAATACCCATTCCCAAACCCCTTTTTCCTTGCTTGCCTGAAAAAGCAAAATACTTTCTTAGCTCCCTGTACAGCAAAGGCTGGCCAGATGACACAATTCTGGGAAATGAAAGGTATTAGAACATGGAGGGATTCCAGCATGGTGGTTAAAAGTATAGGCTCTAGAGTCAGGATGCCCAGATTCACGGTCACTTTAGCTGTATAAATTTGGCAATTTACTTAACCTCTGTTCCTTGGGGATAATAACCGTATCTACCTCATGGTTAATTGTGAGGATTAAAAGAATAGATGTAAAGAACTCAGAAGAGCACTTGGTACATGGTAAATATTCTGTACATGTTAGCAAATGTTATTTTTTTTAATCACCCATAAGTGTCGATATGGAACAATCTCTAAGATATATTACATAAAAGAGGAAAGATGTAGCACAGCACATATCCTATGTTCCCATTTGTGTGAATAATAAGAGAAATTGGAATATACATCTATGTCTGCAGGTGCATGCACAGACTTATCTTATAGAACAAAAACTGTTCAGAGATGTTGCCTCTGGGAAGTAGGATGTGGAACTGGAATTCTAGGCTGGGAAGATCTACTTCATTATATATTCCTTTACTAATTGGATTGAATTTTTGAAATTGAATTGAATTACTTAAAGATTTTTAAATTATTTGTTTTAAAAGCCTTAAAAAAAACCCATTTTCTCTTAATTTCAGTTGTTCATTAACAAAATAGACAGTGAGCTACATAAAGTGACAAGCTTCCTTTTGGATGTATTCAAACACAGCCTGGATGGTAATCTTTCAGGCATGCCCTGGAAGATTTCTGTAGCGAGCAAAAGGTTAGCCTAGAGAGATATAAACTCTCTCAATTCCAAGATCCACCTTTTCGATGGCACAAAAAGAGAAAGGACCTCGGGGAGATGCCAAAATGTGACCCCCCAAAACTGCAACCATCAGAGACTGCTGGCATCAAACAGGATGCACAGCAGATGTACTCCAAGGGCAAGCTTGTCTCATCTTTGCAGGGCAGAACTGAAGAGTATGGGCTGTTGAGCTAGACAGACAGGTTGTGACTCCTGGATCAGCCATTTCTTCATTGCATAGACTGGACCAAGTTATCTAATGTCTTTGAGCTTTTTTCTCACCTGTAAAATGGGAATAGCATCCGCCTTACAGAATTGGTGTAAGAAATAAGCAGGCTAGTGACTGTCAAGCCCGTGACACTACAGCAGGCATGTTGTGAAATGCCCGAGGAATAGCAGCAGCCATCGCTGCAGGTAGAGCATGATCACAGTCACTGGCAACTTCCTTTACTCCTGGGGCTCTGTGCCCACAAGACAATTTTAAGAGGCCCTCATGTATATATGTGATTAGGATCAAGTACAGATATTTTGGTGTGAAATGTGGGGTTTATAGCAAATACAGGTTGGGCTGAATGGTTCTAGACCAGGGAGCAAGTGTTCACAAACGCTGTGTCATAAATGAAATAAGACAAATACTTTGAGGTAAGGAGTAACTACATGACTGATCCATCCACTTGGAGACCCAAATCTGGAACTTTGCAAAAGCAAACTCTGGGGTGCTGAGGTCCCCCCTTTTAGTAAAAGCCAAAGGCCCTGGTACAGAATGCTAGAAAGTCTTCTATTAACCACCCCTGGGACAACTAAGTTTATTTTGGGAAGAGAAAAACTAACCCCCCCTCCCTTCAATTTAAATAGCCAACAGGATCTGGGCTCTGAAAAGTGGTGAACATTTTTCTTCCCCAAGATTATGCGAAACTGTGGCAACTGGCCAAGTGCATTAGCAGCAGGAATATAAGCATTATCCATGTGAGTGGTACTTGGTGTGGGCAGTGCATGGCCATGAGTAGCACACCAGCTACACGGCCTCACACTGGGAGAGTGCTGCTCCTCTGCAGGCCTGTTGCAGGCAAGATCCAGCCACCCACAGCACTGAGGAGTTAGAATGTTGGGAGCAGATAATTCTGTGTTCCACAGATAATGGCATGAAGTGACTATTAATAGATAAGGTGTAAGCATAGCATTAGAAGACAACTCCTCCAGAAGTTCTGTTATTAAATTCTTAAGAGCTTAGAGTCTTCATGGATTAAAGAATTTTTTTTAAAGAAAAGGAGGGTGGAAGGTGTCAAAGACGTAAGAGCTCTTTGTAGATGCTGACTGGTTCACTGTGTCCCCAAGTTCATCTTAGAGCTCAGGCAAATTCAAGACATGAGGCAGAGACACTAGACTTGTGTGAGGGGCAAAAACTTCTGGTAGTAGCTCTTGGTGACGTCAATCATCAGCTCCTGAGTACACTCTGGGAGCTCCCCTGAGAAGAGTCCTAGGAAAAGAAAGATCTGGTTCTAAGGAACTTGAAGAAGTTAAAAGAAATTAAGATATTTCTCTAGCAATATCCTTCTCACCTCAGATCAAATGCATGTCTGCTAATCACTTAAAACAATCATTGAGCTGTTCTGCTCCAGCACTGTTAGGAACAGCTGAAGTTTTTCACAGTGGAACCCCAATGTGGAGAAAACTACTGAACAAAACTCTTTTCTCTCTCCTCTACAAAAGCAGAGATGTATGACACAGCAGAATGGCCAACTGCCTCCCAGAATCTGAGTGATTATTTTGTACATCTTTGAAACACATATTCAATAATCTGAATGAGATTTTTTTTTTAATTGGAAAAACAATTAAACCACCCAGCAGTGGGTATCATACACTCTCAAATCTGTCTCTTCATATCATCTTCCATGTATGAATCTGTAGTGCACCTCTGTATGTGCTACCTGATTTCAACTGTGTAAAATACGGAGAAGGTCTGCTATCTTGGGGTGGGAGTGAGGGAGTGTGAGGTTTTCTTCTTCCTTCTGCTCTTCAGTGTTTCCCAAGTTTTCTGGGATAAGCATGTGTTACTTTTCCCTCCTATTTTGTGATTGGAACTCTGTACTCACAGGGTCACCTGTGGGCACTCTACCAGCCACGTCAAGAGACAATGCATTTGCTCCTCTCAGGTGTCCCAGAGGTATCAGTTTGTGGACTTCAGGACCGTGCAGGAAGTAAAATTCCAACCCCCAACCAATGTGAGGGGCAGCCCATAATTAAAATTCTCTAGACTTTTTCTTTTTCTACCCAAGAGCCCAGGCCAAGAGAGAAATGCTTGTATTTTCCCTGTGTTGGTGGCAGATTTATTTTATATTAACCTTTCCTTAAGGGAGGACCCTTCAAAGTACTTGAGGACCTCTCTGCCATGTGTGGATCCAAGGCTTTATCTCTCATGCCCTAAACCCACTCTATTATGAAGACAGCATCAACCCATGCAATCTTAAAGGGTTTACTTTCCTCTTTGTTTTTGACCCTTGATAATTTCCTTGTGAACCCAATTATGCATTTAAAAAGATGCTTGTTATATTTTTGATAGCATTTCTAGGTATAGCCATCCCTCAGTATAGACAGGACATTGTTTCCAAGAATCCCCACAGATCCGAAAATCCATGGATGCTCAAGTCCCTTTTATAAAATGGCATAGCATTTCCATATAACCTATGCACATCTTCCTATGTACTTTAAATCATCTCTAGATTACCTGTATTACCAAATACAATGTAAATGTTATGTAGATAGTTGTTATACTGTATTTTTTAATTTGTATTATTTTTTCTTGTTGTATTATTTTTTTTTCTGAATATTTTTGATCCTTGATTAGTTGAATCTGCAGATATAGAAGCCATGGATATAGAAGGCCAACTGTACTTTGTAACAGGTGAATTTTCAAGTTGGACAGAAATTGCATACATTTCTTTTGCAATAAAAAATAAAATTGAGTTTTAAGGAGGTTAAAATAAAAACAATAGACATCCAAGGTTACCTGGGCAGCCTGAGAAGACGGTGAATGGTGGGACTACAGTTTCTGGAGGTAATACTGTGTTGTCAAGAATTTTACAGCAGTCTTTCAGCACACACCGACGCCCCTAAAATTAAAATCTTGTTAATAGGAAATAGATAAGGAAATGGGAGTAAAAGTTGTCTAGTCTGCTGTGTGGAATGCTATTTTATATTTTCTCCATTCATGATATCATATAATAGCCAGGGACAGTGACAAGAGGCTTGGTCACAATTCCCTGCTTCAGGTGGTACCTGATGAGGAGGTAGGGTGTGTGTGTGTGTCTGTGGGTGTGGGTGTGGGGGTGTGTGTGTGTGTGTGTGAGAGAGAGAGAGAGAGAGAGAGAGAGAGAGAGAGAGAGAGAGAACATTGAGGGGAGGGCTGTATACTAGGAACAGTACAGGTTATCTTAGGTATTACAGACTATGTGAATTTCACTCTTCTAAGAGTTCTGTTTAATTTTCTCTTTTATTCGATTTAGTGGACATCTGTTGTTTCGCTTGTCCAATATCCATTCCCCTTTCTTCTGGTAACAGAATCTATTTTTTCCTTGGAAATCACCCTATCCCCATCTCAATCCATGTGCTTTGCCTCCCAGCCCACACACCAAACCCCAAGCCTGACCACAGCGACTGGTTTAGGGATTCAACATATGTGCCGAATTGGTCTGATGAATCTCAAACTCAGGGCACCTGCTGGGACTACTGAGAAAAGAAGTGCTTTCCACTGGGGTTTCCAGAAGATAGGATGGAAGCCTGGAAGAGCCATCTTATTTCCATGAAGGAGGAGCCAGCCTCAGAGTGAACCCCCCCGAGGAAAGCAGCAAAGGAATGGAGACTGATTCCCATGACATCAATTGAACCACTGTAGCCATTTGGTTATGACATCAGGACCCACTCCTGTACTTTTGGTTTACATTAGCCAACCCATTCTGTTGTGCACCTACCACTTTACGGGTTGCTTATTTGCTGTTTTGCCAATTCCAACTGGAAAGTCTTGACAAATTTATTTGGATATGAACTTATTAGTTCATTTGCTTTTCCATGGGCGAGTGACAGTTATTTGAATGTTTGGGCTGAACCTTATGTTTGGTTTTATCCACTGTTATCACTTTTCAATTAGGCCATGATCTGTAGCATTTTGAAGGCAAAAGATAAGGGCCAGGAGATTCATCTGTTTCCTAAGTTAAGGAAAAAGAGCGGCTTCTGCATACAGTTTAAAATTATGACTCACGCTACTTCCTGAGTAAATGCAAATTTCAATCTATATTGACTGTGTTTACATCACCAGGGCCTGTAAGTTCATTTGTGTTCTGGTTAGACAATGTTATTAAATATACCTGGCTAAGAATGTGGAAATCTTAACAAATACCAGCATGATGCTAACCTGTCCACTCAGATTTTATCAAAGAACATGAACAGCACTTTCATTTGGTTGTGCTCAAAATTTCCCCCATTATTAAATATGCAAATCATATGTATTTCCAGGAAAAGGTAGATTGCAAAGTGAGTTTTTAAAAAAGCTTATACCCCCAAGATCTGAATTTCTTAAATGGTTGGCTAAGTTGTCTCCAATTGGGTGGAAAATAAGCTTGACAATAATTGGCAACATCTTTTGCTCAGAATTTATGACTATAGCTCTTCATTCCTCCTTGGAAAGTTCTCTTCCATGAATTACCTGCTAGTGGCAATTTCAAAAATATGGCAGTTGGCTATCTCCCCTAGTGACCCCCACAATAATATTAATTCAAAGACTTCCAGTCACGCCTAAGCTCCTAAGAACTCAGACTAAGCACATGGGGCACTGAGTAAAAGGAAATATAACATGCTGCATAAGGCGTGACACATTTCCATGCAGGGATCTGTAGACAAAGGGCCCTGGTAACAGTGGAAAGGAATCTTCACTGTGCACCAACAGCCACCACACAGCCTGTAGGCACCTGCTTTGTCCACTAGTTGGCCATTCTGCCCACTTCAAGAAATGATGCTTAATTGGGTTTCAGAAGTATTCTGGGTAGACTGATCAGTTAAATAGCAGCAAAATAAAAAATGCAGGTATTTCTTAGGCATAAGTGGCTTGGCAATAGCTGATGATTTAAAAACCATTTCTTTATTCTTCCCTGGAGAACTTTTCAAGGAGGAGTCAAGAACCATATAACTAGTATTAAAGCTACCTATATATCCTTATTCAAGTTAGTTAGCACCTCTGAGCCTTGCTTTCCTCATTAGGAAACAGGAAATAAAACCAGATATTGTCAAGATTAGAAATAATAAATGTAAAACTCATAGCACAATAACAGTACCTATTAATGTTGCTTGTTAAGCTTTTCCTTCAGGTATTTGAGCAACTCTGATTAACACCTACACCTTCACATATCAAGCAGAAGTTAGACTACCACATGGGAAGGATCTGTGTGTCATAGAGACAGGAGGACTCTAAAAGAGTTCCTACTAGCTCTGAGAGTCTACAATTCTAAAGGAATCTTTCTCTCAAGATTACTTGAGAATTTGTCAAGGCTCAGCAAGTACTGCCAATACCAAACAACGACTATGTCATAAATTGATATATTGAAAAGTAGCACAAAAAGCAGAGCACCTCACAACAGGACTAGAATTCCCTAAGCACTGGAAATAGAATTTGTATTTTAAACTTTCAAACATTTTGCTATGGAGAAAAATGACAAGGTTACAGGACTAAGCTGCTATGGTGATGTCTTCCCTTTGCAAAGGAAAATAACAGAAAAACCAGCTGTGGCTTTGAAGGCTACCTTTTGTCAGTCAGTGTGAGGGGAGAGGATGGGTTTTACTATCTTCCCCCTTTCTTCAACATCAGGCTAAACCAAAGACTTCCTGCCTCACGTACACACTAAGGAATTCCTCTAGAATGAGAGTATCTGGCAGAATGACCACTTCCCTTGACTCTGAGCAGCAAGTCAGATTGACATGGTTTTCACTGCAATGTGGTTCTCCATCGCACCACACACCATTGCTGTGCCCTCGTGGCTCCTACAATGTGAACTGCATGGCTTCTGCACATTTTTTGATACTTTAGGGTCTGAGTCTTATCCAGAGCAGAGAGCTGGCTCAGTATTAACGGGAGCAGCCATTAAAGAAACATGAAGGGCTGGCTTGTGGCTCACTTGGGAGAGTGTGGTGCTGATAACACCAAGGCCGTGGGTTCGGATCTCTCTGTAGGGATGGCCGGTTGGCTCACTTGGGAGAGCGTGGTGCTGACAACACCAGGTCAAGGGTTGGGATCCCCTTACCGGTCATCTTTTAAAAAAAAAAAAAAGAAAAGAAACATGGTCTTGGCTTTCCCTAGAATCTAGTCTAAGGTACAAATCTAAAATGTAGGAAACACTTTCCCAAACATTGAGGCATTTCACCACTAGTCATTAACATTCTCACCCAGGATGTTCTCTTAAATCCCAACTGAAATCAAGCTCTTCACCTAAGAAACAGCAAGAAACCCGGCCTTGTAAAGCTTTGGTTGCGTTAGACAAATTGGTGCCAAGGCTTTTATGGACAGAGGCTCTGCAGGTTCTGCTAAGCAAGGGCCCCATGTGTACCCTGAACTACTTGCACTTCCCTTAATGTCGTGCTCTGTGGTGACTCTGACCCTTACACATGCCAATCCCTTTCCTGAAATGACCATCCTCCCCTTGTCTACAGCATCAATGTTGACTCACCCTTCAGATCTCCTCACCCCCATTAAACTGTAAGCTCCATGAGATAAGGCAAAAAGCAGGCCACATAGCAGGATAGCTACTCATATTGCCTGTGTTTAAATCCCAGCTCTACCACTTACTAGCCTTGTCAAATCCCTTACTATCTAAGGCCCTCAGTCTTCTCATCTGCAAAGAGGGTTAATAACAGTACCTAACACCCCTCAGATGGTTGTGAGGATTAAATAAAATAATCAAGGGAAAGAGTTTAACATCACATGGAAGAGGTTCTATAAAAGTTAGCCATTATTATTAATGCCTAGAAAAAACCCAAATCCAGCAAGAAAGATCCAACCTTGGGAAGATCAGGAACTACTACCCTGCTTGGTCACAGAAGAAGAGTCCCACTGATGTGAGGGATGGGAGTTAGAGGGAAAGTGAGGCTGCCTGGCCAGCCAAGTCTCATACTCACAATCACACAGTTCTTGCCAACGTGAACGTAAGAGCCAATCTGAGCTGCGTTGACCACACAATCTTCCTCAATAAAGACATGGTCCCCAATATGCAAAGGAAAGAATGCAACGCTAGAAAAGTAAAAGAAGACGAACAAAGAAAAGTCAAGGTGATTTACTTTGGATTAAAGTTTACAGAATTACAGATTGCATCCTCAACTTCATCATCTTGTCTTAATAAGACTGTTTCTAGCCAAAAAAGAATCCTCAGGCTAGAGAAATTTTATTATGTTGTAGATGAATGAGACTACTAGCTAAAAATCAGAAATATCAGCCCAAAGAAATGTGCAAGGAAACAGCAAGGCAAAAGGAGAAGGGGCAAGATCTTCAAAGCTAAAAGGGCAGGCACCAAATAAAAATAAATGAATGTTTGCTCATTCCTGCTTCCTTTTTTTTTTTTTTTTTGTCTTTTTGTCTTTTTCCATGTCCGGCAACGGAATCGCAACCCTCGGTGTTGCAGCCAGTGAGCGGGAACCGGTCCGCATGTGGGATCCGAACCCTCGGGCGGGAGCGCCGCCGCGCTTCCCAAGCGGCGCTCTATCCAGTGCGCCACCGGGCCGGCCCGCATTCCTGCTTCGAATGGGGATGATGTCAGAAGTCAGGAGAAAACCTGTAATTCCTACTCATACTACCCGGTCCGCATGTGGGATCCGAACCCTCGGGCGGGAGCGCCGCCGCGCTTCCCAAGCGGCGCACTATCCAGTGCGCCACCGGGCCGGCCCGCATTCCTGCTTCCTTTGAAAGTGCTCACCAATCACATTTTTAGTAATCTGCCCTATAATGTTTCAGGAGACTGACATCAGGTTTATGGACTGTAATTTCCAGCTCCCAACATTCTGAAAATTTATTCATTCATCAATTTTACTGAATGCCTACTTTGTGCTAAATTCTATGCTAGGAATTGGGGATACAATGATGAGACATAATCCTGTCCATGAGGAGCTTACAATCAAGAGAAGAAACAAGATTAAATAAATTATATAAGTAATTAGTTAAAACTGTGATAAGTGCTGCAGAGACAAAATACCAGCTTATCAGAGTGTATAACAAGGAGACTTTACCTAGACCAGGGGTTTGGGAAAAGCTTAATTGAAAGTGACATTTAACCTAACACTTGAATAAAGCAATGGTCCATTCACATCTGGAATATTATATAAAAGTCTAGCAAGCTGACCTCAAGTGAAGGACAGCTGAAAGCATCATAAGAGTGGAGATATGCTACTTGTAGACTGACCAACAAGATCTCTTTGTGGAAGACAGACCAAGGCTGACCCTGGACATGAATGAAACTTAAAAATGCATAAATTCTATAGACAAGGTAAACACAAGTTTTTTCATTTACCTTTGAAATTCTAGAAACTAAAATTTTGAATGAACATAAACACTTTATTTTGAATATGCTATTTTCTTAGAAAATTAACCTACTTTACATAGGTGCTCAGTTTATACTCCTAGAAGAGAACCTTATTTTTAAAGCTGGGTGGGATAGACAGCTGAGTGAGTGAGTGAGTGTGTGTGTGTGTGTTTTGTATTATGCAGATTCAATTATAAGAATAACAGGGACCATTAAAAGTAAAACTTAACTAAACTGAAAATTTAATTAGGATTTGTGAAACTTGTCATGCCTTAAAATGTGTATTGTCTGGGATTTTGCATGAAAATATAGAGTAGTTTTGTAACAAAATAAATAATATATGCTCTGGAAAAAAAGAAAAAAAGAAAGTGACATTTAAGCCAAGACTTGTAGTATGAGTAGGAATTACAGGTTTTCTCCTGACTTCTGACATCATTCCCATTCTCCAGGATTCCTCAAATGTCATTGACAGTTCTGTGATCACATTTATTAGTAATTTCAGTACCTCGGGATGTAAAATCTTTGGACTGGAACTAATATAAAGTAGCCAGATGGTCACTAGCTCTTTCAAGTCCTGTTCTTTTTTTTTTTTTTTTCCTTTTTGTCTTTTTTACTGACCGGTAACGGGATCGCAACCCTCGGTGTTGCGCCCGCACCGCGCTCAGCCAGTGAGCGGGAACCGGTCTCCACATGGGATCCGAACCCTCGGCGGGAGCGCCGCCACATTCCCAAGTGGCACACTCTCCAGTGCGCCACGAGTGCGCCACCAGGCCGGCCCTTTCCAGTCCTGTTCTATTCTGTCGGGAATACTTTGTCAGAAATCATGCTTGTCCTTCATGACCTATAATTGATTTATTTACTTTTTCACATTTTTTCCTCTACAGGTTCTAGATTTTGAGACCTATAATTTATTTAAATCTTCCTTAATCCATTAGTATTTTTAGTCTGCACCCCTTGTGCGGCAATGAATTCCTTGATCTCATCATAGTCTACAGCAGTACTGACAGTTCTTTAACTTTAAATTAAAAACTCCAAATTTTATAGGTTCTGGTATGATATGCAGGGGGAAAAATCCACATGCACATTTTCTTCATGTTTTGCTATTTACACTTCCATATTTCTATATTTCTCACATGGACTATTCCTATTTACACATCCCTCCATTCACCAATAAACCCCTGGTTCATTCTTGGTGCTTTTCCTGGGCCATAGCCAGGTCAATAATGCCATTATCAGAAATTGGAATCAACAACTCTAGCAGAGTACCAGTCACTGTATGAAACCACAAAAGGGTACACAAGGTTTTCTGGTTATCCCAATAGCCAGAAAGTTAATATTTTTCATATGAATGATTTACAATGACTCCCTGATCCAATTCCTGTATGTAAGGGAAAGCCTGGAGTCCAACATCAATATTGGAAATGTGGGATCATTCCTGCATGATATACTTCTACGTATATTTAGTTTGAATTAGTTGCTCCCTTCTCTGTTCCTCCCTAACCATGTTCATACCCCTGTGACAGGGGTGTCACATTATATAGTAGCTATCATATTATAGTATCATACTATGTACTAGCTATTTGTTTCTACCACTAGATTTTGAAAACCTTGAGGCAGGAACTCTCTTTTATCTATTTTTATATATGCTCAGTTTATAGCACAGTGGCTGGCATAAGAAAGGCACTCAATAAGTGCTTGCTGACTTATTGGACGGTGCCATAGGTAGGAACCAGGAAGGCAATTAGCCAGGGAGAAGAGAGGCAAAAAGAATTCCACTGCAACAGGCATGGTGGTCTCTTTTCCTGACCCGTCCATGTCCTTTCTCAGACAGTCCTTATTTCCATTGAGGGATCAGTGGGACTGACTTGACCCTGCCTTCTGAGTCACAGCTGTTTAGACCAAGGGTTGGTACTTAACTCAAGCTGAGGCAGTCAGATTTTTTCTCTCGAGTATATGGGATTAATACATAAGATCTCTGGTTGGTATCTGTGGGAAGCCTAAATGGAGACATGATCTAAATAAGGGGCCGAGGCAGCAAAGTGGACCCCATGAGCAAAGGGGGCAGATATAGCCAATCTGAGAGAAGAGGGAAACAGAAATGTGAACAAAAGGACAGTATAGAAGAAACACTATAAGCTTGGAGACAGAGAAGGGTGGATAAAACAGTTGTCTTGATTCTGGTTAGCTGTCCTCTTCCAGGTTCTAGCCCCTTGTGAAGCCTGGCTTCTTTTTCTTCTCTTAGGTTTCATCAAATATGCCCATGTCTGTTTAATCAGAACACCCTTTGCTTTGACAAGCTTAAGTGGATTCTATTTCTAGCAACCAACCATCAACCATACTAAGACAGCCACCACCAGAGTTGTGTTCATTATGGCAAACTCTTACTCAATGCCCAAAACAAGAGGATAGACCTGCTCATTGCACCACAACTCAACACATGTACACCATCACCACTGGCAGCATCTTGCCCAAGACTGAAACAAAGTAATTAAATCACATACCCTTTGCTAAATTTCTTGAACGGTGGTCTTATGACACTACGACTCTTTACAACACAATGGCGTCCAACTCTTACATTTGCCAGATCCCCTCGGATAATACAGTCATTCATCACAATGGTCTATAAAACAAAACATATTTTAAAAAATTACCAACATGGCCTAAAACATAACAACAAAAAAGAGTAGGTAACAGGACACTGATTGTGAATTATGTTATGACCCACTGCATCAAATGTTCTGTCAAAAGAGAAAACCTTTTGTAAGGTAAAAAGAGAATTGTTCTCATGACACTGACTGCAGTTAGTGATGTTCCCAGTATATCACAAGATTTGCCCTTAATACCTGATGAATAGAATTCACTGAATGAACATTTATTGAGAACACATAGAGCAGACCCAGTTTATGCATCTCTTTAGATTCACTCACGTCCATCTGTTCCCCAAGCCTTGGCTATTTGCTCAGTGAGAGTCCTGGCTACTCCTACCTTTGTCTTATTTCCTAACACTATTGATTATTTCCAACTTCATGCTTACAGAGGTGGACCCACTGAAGTTCTGCTTCATCCCCCAACCTCTGGAATCAGATTAAGTGCTACACTGCAAGGCATAAGATCTGGCTTCCCTAGAGATTGCCTGGAGGTGCTGAGTAACACAACCCAGTAGCCTAGAGGGATTAATGCCCTATACTTGGTAAAGAATGGGCATTTTTGAAATGTCTGTTGAATAAATGAATGGAGTAAAAAAATTTTTTTTAAAAGTACATATGGCTGAAGTTATAGCAGAAAAAGCAAGCAAGAGACCAGATCATGATGAATTGTGCATGTTAAGCATAGAAGCTTAGACTTATTTTCCCTAGAGGATATAAGGAATCAATAAAATATTTTAAACAGAGGATTAACATAACTAAATTATCATTTTAGAAATATTACTCTGGAAGCAGTCTGAAGTATGAATGGAGGATACAGGTGAGGCTATAGGGAAAATGACTCTTTAGGTGACTATACCGGATCAAGGTAAATAGAAATAAAGGGGCTTATCCAAGGCAATAGCTGTGCGTGTGGAAAAGAGAAATAAATAGAAAGTAAATTAATCTGATCAAGCCTCTAGATCTAACTATCAATTTGGAGGGGCATAAAGGCCCCATTGAACAACTCCATGTAGATATAATCAGCCAAATTTAGAAATATGAAAATTCTAAGGGACAGTGATCCAGTTTCTGCAATATATAAATAGCATGAAGAAAAAGAGGAGTTGGGGAAAGAGGACTGTTACAGATTAAAAGAGACTTAAGAGACATATCAACCAAACACAATGTGTGCATGACTTTGGATTCTGATTTGAATAAACCATCTGTAAAAAGATATCTTGACATGCTGGAGACACCGAACATGGACTGAGAATTAGATGATATTAGGGAAGTACTTTAAAAATATGTATTATAATAGGGACTGACCAGTTAGCTTAGTTGGTTAGAACATGGTGCTGGTAACAACAAGGTCCAAGATTCGATCCCTGTACCAGCCAGCCACCAAAAAAATAAAATAAAATAAATAATAATAATAATAATGGTACTGTAGTCACTTTTTAAATCTTTAAATATTTTTGATAAACACTGAAGTATTTATGAGGTGAAGTAATATAAGGTTTGCAATTTGCTTTAAAATACTCCAGCCTCCCATATCCGACCCTAGTGAAACTAGGTCTAGTCAAACTAGGATGGGTTTAGAGATGAAACAAGAATGTCAGAATATTACTAATTGTAGAAGCTGGTAAATGACTGCATAGGAATTCATTATATATTCTCTCTACTTCTGTACCTGTCTTAAAAGTTCCATAATAATATTGCTTGGCTACAAAAAGGGATAAACTAAAAATCTACTAATATATGCAATGAGATGGATAAATCTCAAATATTATGCTGAAAGAAGCCTGACTTAAAAGGGTATGTGATTCTAGTTATAAGAAACTCTAGAAGATGCAAAACTAATCTACATTAATTTTACATCAGTGGTTGCCTTAGGGCCACAGGTAGATGGGGATTGACTGCAAAGGGGCACAAGGAAACTAGGGTGGTGGAAATATTTTATAGACTGATTGTGGTAGTGGTTGCACAGAATGTACATATCAGTCAAAGCTTGTCAAACTACACACTTAAAATGGGTACATTTTACTATATGTAAATTATACCTCACTAAAGATGAATTTTTTAATGTTCCATAATAAATTGTTGAAAAAGAAAAAAAGGAAGAGAATCTATATGACTTGATCATTGTTTGGCTGTTGGGGTAAGAGAAAGAGAATCTAGAATAGACTAAGTAATTATGAGTACTATAATTTATGTTTTGAAATGTTGAATTTGAGGCATCTGTGAGATGAGCAATAGGCAGTCAAAAATAAAGGTCTGGGGCCCAATACAGAAGGTCAGCCTAAACAGGTATTTGGGGAACACCTGACATATAGGTGAATGTAGATAAATCACTAGCCTAAACACCAGGCTCTGAGAAGATACTAAAAGAGAAATGGATTCATACCTGGAAGAGTTTACCAATCTTACCTGCATATGTTCAGTCTTTAAAACCTCTAGTAGCAAAAAAACACTTTCACATCTGCTGCTGACTGTAAAGTATTACAGTTCCTCTTTATTTTCAAAAGCTATCTTCTTAGGCTGGCCCGTGGCTCACTCGGTAGAGTGCGGTGCTGATAACACCAAGGCCAAGGGTTCGGATCCTATATAGGGATGGCCGGCTTGCTCACTGGCTGAGCGTGGTGCTGACAACACCCAAACCAAGGGTTGAGATCCCCTTACCCGTCATCTTTTAAAAAAAAAAAAAAAAAAAAAAGCTATCTTCAAGCTTAAAGACATGTCTACTTTTAGTATATGCTTCTTTCATCTCATATCTTTAATTTACTTCTATCTTTGTTTTCAGTTTTATGTTTCTATCTATAATCAGAGAAAATGGCTTCCTGTTCTGTTTGAAGAAAACAGAATTCCAAGAGTTCCAGGTATTTGGTAATTGTTGTTGTTTTATTGTTTTAAATAAATATGACAATCTTAATCTGGAAATAAAGAAAATCCATATGAATCCCTCAGACAGCCTAAATTACACTCCCTCTGAAGAAGCAAACACACACACAAAAAATAAGAAGTAAATTATACCACAGGTAGTCAAAGAAATTTAGGAAGGACTCAAATCCTGATTTCCTATCTCACAGGAGCAGAGCTGAGGAAGAAAAGTCAGATTCAAAATAGAAGCAACAGAGCATTAAAATGAAAGAGGGTGGCTATAAGCACCCTTATAGGGAAGAAAATGATACCAAAGCAGAGAGCTGATTGAACTCAACAATGGACAAGGCAGAGGTGGCAAATTCGAGGTCAAATGATGGCACCTGCAAACATATTCTGTTTGGTCCATGCAGCACTTCATAAAATCATTTAAATTAGATGTTGCTATTTGTTTTGTTTTTTTTTTTTTTTGTCTTTTTTCGTGACCGGCAACGGATCGCAACCCTCAGTGTCGCGCCCGTACCGGACCGGGACCGGCAACGGGATCGCAACCCTCGGCGTTGCACCCGCAACCTCGCTCAGCCAGTGAGCGGCCGGTCTGTATGTGGGATCTGAACCCTCAGCGGGAGCGCCGCCGCGCTCCCAAGCAGCGCACTGTAGCAGTGCGCCACCGGGCCGGCCCTAGATGTTGCTATTTGAATAGTAGAGCATTTTGCATTTAAAAAATCCAGATTTTCAGTTTCTTTTGGAAAAAAATCAGAAGCTCTGGACGTACAGGCTTGTATTCCCCCACAGCAACAATCAGCTTGAGCTTAGATTGATCATATATTCTCCAAGTCACGAGGCCCCATCACTCTGTGGTTCACACAGTCTTCTTTACTTATTTGATCCCTCTATATCCCCAAAGGCACTGTGACATCTGATATAAGAACTCAGGAAAACAGAAATGACAAAGTTCTGAAAGGAAGACAGGCTGGAAATATAAATGGATTGTTCATAAGAACAAAAAACTGGAAACAAAGTAACTATCCACCAACAGGAGAGTGGATAAATGGAACTGCACACAGAAGTGAAAATGCAAAGACCACAATGAATCTTAGAAATGGAAACTGAAGGGCCGGCCCAGTGGCGCACTGGAGAGTGTGCCGCTTGAGAGCGCGGCGGCGCTCCCGCCGAGGGTTCAGATCCCATGTGGAGACCGGTTCCCGCTCACTGGCTGAGCGCGGTGCGGGCGCAACACCGAGGGTTGCGATCCCGTTACCGGTCAGTAAAAAAGACAAAAAGGAAAAAAAAAAAAAAAAGAAATGGAAACTGAAAATAATGAAACTTAGTAAGTGTAATATAAGTGTTTCCTATTGTCATTATTATAATAATTGAGTTTGTTTCAAAAAAAGAGTCACAGAAAACCAAGGAAAGTTAAACAATATAACAATATACAGGCATATTATTTAGGGATACATATGTATGTGGTAATTTTTTTAAAATAATAATAATTTTATAAGACACAAAATTCAAGATAGTGGTTTCCTCTTGGAGGGAGGCAGAAGAAAGGGACAGAACATGAAGATAGTATTTGTTATTGTATGTTAATTATGTTCTAGTTCTTCAGTTGGGTGGTAGGTTCATGGGTTGTTGATTTAATTTTTATGCTTTATAACATATATTCATATATACTTTTTCGTGTACATATTGTCAAATAAAACATCTTTTTAAAAAGACAGGGCCTTGAATAGCCAAAACAATCTTAAAAAAGAACAAAGTTGGAAGGCTCATATGTCCTGAATAAAAACTTACTACAAAGCTACAGTAATCAAAACTGTATAGTGCTACAGAAGGACAGACATATAGACCAAGCAAATAGAATTGAGAGTCTGGAAATAAATTCATACATACATCTATGACCAACTGATTTTCTACAAGTGTGCCAGGATCGTTCAATAGGGAAAGAATAGTCTCTTCAACAAATGGTGCCAGAATAACTGTATTTACACATCCAAATGAATTAAGTTGGTCTTCTACCTCATACCATGTAAAAAATTAACTCAAAATGGATCAATGACCAAATATAAGCACTAAAACCATAACACCCTTAGAAGAAAACATAGCAGTAAATCTTCATGATTTTAGGTTTGGCAATGCATTCTTAGATAGGGCACCAAAAACATGAGCAACAAAAGAAAAAACAGATAAACTGGACTTCATTGAAATTAAAAACTTTTGTGCATCAAAGGACACTATCTACTAGCCAGCCATTAAAAAAAAAGAGCACTATGAAGAAAGACAACGCAATCTACAAAAAGGGGGAAAATATTTGCAAACCATATATCTGATAAGGGTTTAATATCCAGAATACATAAAGAAGTCCTACAACTCAACAACAAAAAAGACAACATAATTTAAAAATGGGCAAAAGACATTTCTCTAAAGATATAAAAATGGCCAATAAGCACATGAAAAGATGCTCAACATTATTAATCATTGCGGAAATGCAAATCAAAATCACAATGAGATACCAGTTCAAACCCACTAAGATGGCTATCATCAAAAAAGCAGAAAATAATAAGTGTTGGTGAGAATGTGGAGGAACTGAAACCCTGTACATTGCTGGTAGGAATGTAAAATGGTGCAGCATTATGGAAAACAGTTTGGAAGTTTCTCAAAAAGTTAACAATAGAATCTCCATACAACCCAGCAATCCCACTCCTAGGTATATGAGGGTATTTCAAAAGTTCATGGAAAAATAGAATTACAAGATAATATGAATCTTTCCTTGAACTTTTTGAAGTACCGTCATATACTCAAAATAACGAAAGACAGAGACTCAAACAGATACTTGTGCGTCAATATCCATTGGAACATTATTCACAATAGCCAAAATGTGAAAACAACCTGTGTCCATCAACAATGAATAGATAAACAAAATGTGGTACATTCATACAATGGAATATTATTCAGCTATGAAAAGGAATAAAGTTCTGATATGCTACAACATGGATAAACCTTGAAAACATTATCCTGAGTGAAATAAGACAGACAAAAAAGTACAAATATTACATGATTCTACTTGTGTGAAATATCTAGAATAGGCAAATTCATAGAGAAAGAAGGCAGATTGAAGCTACCAGGGAATGAGGAGAGTGGGAAATGAGGAGTTATTCCATAACAAGTACAGAGTTTCTGTTTGGAGTGATGAAAAAGTTTTGGAAGTAGTGGTGATGGTTGCACAACACTGTGAATGTAATTAATGCCAATTAATTATACACTTAAAAATGGTTGGAAAAGAAATGGTTGAAATGGCAAGTTGTTATACATATTTCATCACAAGAAAATAAAAAAACTTCCCTATGAAGTCACAGAAAACATCTCAGAATTTGCTGAAGGATTTCTTTAAAAACCTCTACACATTTACTTATGAGTCTCATGAAGTTAACTGAATTTTCTGATTCTGTGCTGAAACAGTGTGTCTGAGTTGCAATTACTGAACAATATTTCTTTTCCATTAAAATTTATGGTATGATGGGCTTAATGGAGAATTGTGTCTCTACTGAAAATATTTGTGATCTTTTGGTTATAGTGTCTGGAAGTTAGAGATGTAACACTTAAAGGAAAATTAATTTCAAAATTAGGTGTTCCAGGTGGCAGGAAAAAAAAACTATGAACTTCAGTGTTTGTCAAGCTTATACAGATCTTGTGATATTTTCTCTGGTTTTGAAATATTCTAATATTATAACCAGGTTTATATTCACCTCTTTGCTATTTCAATTCATTCAGACTATAAGATTCCAAGCCTTTCAGATTCCATTTTGTATATGTGTCTCATATTTTAATACCTTTCCCAACTCTCACATTAATTTTAAGAGTTTAATATTGAATTATTAATTATTATTAAACAGTTTTATAAGCATTACTTGAGTTGCTACTTTAAAATACTTTATTGCCTACTTGTGTTTGGTGTCCAGTAGTTTAGGGCATGCTACAATACTGTACAATAATTTTGGTTCTAGGTACCATTGTATTTTGCGTCTGGCATACAAAGAAAAAGGCTTTCTTTTGCCTCCTTTTATTGAACCTTGTTTTGCATTCAATTAACTCCAATTTGGAGACTAAAAATAAAAAAGAAAGAGAATTGGAAAGTGTACAACAAATGGGAGACGTGACAACATTCTCTCACCCTGCTAATGTGATAATTAGTGGAAAGCAAGCAAAGCTATGCAGCCTGGAGCTGGCTTTGTACCTTACCTTGCCATTGAGAACGATGTTCTGGCTCCCACACAACACTGACTGGCGACTAACCTTGTTCCCAGACGCCTAAAAGGAAACAACAGAAAACTGAGGTGAGCAAACTGCATGGGTTTCTGGGCTACAGGTTTCCATCAAGAAAGTTCATACTGGAGAGGAAAAAACTTGAAATAAGGTGCTGTCTACAACGGAATGAGTCTGGAACATCAAAAAGGCAAGGATGGATCAGGATACTAGGGATTCAAGCAATGGATGCAGAATTTGGAGTGATAGGTTTATCGTTTAGTGGCATCAGGCAGAGACGTGGATTCAAGTCCCAGTTCCATACTTCAGTTTTACAGCCCTAAAGCGAGGATAGTGACTTTCCCCGTATCATACAGTTGTGAGACTGCAGAGAGAAACAAAATAATAGTAACGTTAATTGAGCACTTGCCCTGTTTTTACCGTTTTACACACCTATCACGTATTGACTATAAATAACCTAATAGTTTTTAATACACGTTAACAGATTACGAAACGATAGTTCAAAAAAAAAAAAAGCTTAAAAGGGCCCAAAGCCTGGAGTTGTCAGTAATATTGGGATGGATGGGACTTGTCCTGCCATGCGGAAGGTACTTAATCCCTCCCAAAAAATCAGGAATAAATATAAAAAGCCTAAACCGGCCACGCACGGACTAAATAACAAGGCCAGACGACACAAGAAGCATCACTAGGTAATCCCGGACTAACTGCTGAAGGGGACCAGGGTGGGTGGGGCGGGGACCAGACGAGGCCGCGGCCAGGCCCCAAAGGGACTCAGGCTTGGAAAGGGGAGGGCGGACGTCTGGACACGCGCACCGTCTCGATGTACTCGGACTTGTTGTAGAGCAGTTCGCCCAACTCCATGGCCTCCTCCTCCTTTCCTCAGCGCCGGCTCCTGTCAAAGCCCGTCTTTCTGCGTGGAGTTCCGTTTACTTCCGGCCGCTCCTCCACTTCCGTTCTCGGTGGTCTTGGGGTTCGCCGACAGCTCGGCTCTCTTCTAGAAGGCCCGTTCCATTGCTCGGCAGTCTCCGGCTGCGCATGCGCAGGCCGAGCGGTGGGCTCAACTGTCCCCGGACAGTTGATGGCGCACCTGCCCACGTGGGTCAACTGACCCACCTCTGAGGGGATCCCGGGCCCCCTGTTCCTTCCCGGGGCGCATCCTGGGCCCAGGGTGGACTGGGTTCCCATGTCCGCAGGCCCTGGCCCGACAACGGCCACCGGCCCGGCAACGGCCACCGGCCCGGCAACGGCCACCGGCAGGATGGAAGAGCCTCCCGAGAAGCTCCTCAGCTCTGAGGAGAGGAAAAAGGTGCCGGGGTGCAGGGAGGTTTTGTTTCTTCGGCCGTAGACTGAGGGGCCCAGGAAATGAAGCGCAGTGTTCACGTGGTGGCGTTTACAGAACCAGTTTTCACTGCAGTAGCAGTGCCTAAATACAAAATGTCAGACTTTACAGTTTAACGGCTCCTTTGACGCCCTTCTTCCTCCCCCTCCCCCACTCTCAATCTTGACTTCTCCCGCTCCACCCCCTGAGGTAAATCTTTCAACAGTCTGGTACTTCCAGATCTTTCCGTGGGGTGGGTAATCCCTAACCACCGGAAAGTAATATGTATTTTTCGGAGAGGGGAATGTTTATAAATGGTATCATCTGAATGGTCTGCAACTTCCCGTTTTTGTTCTCCGTGTTTAACATCCGTGTTAGGACGTATTAACCTACTATGTTTTTTAAAGTTGTATATAGTATTCTGTAGTTTGGAAGTACCCTCGTTTCTTTATATATTACTCTGCGTATAGACTTTTAGGTTGTTTCCTGCTTGTGCTGATGTTCACTTGAACGTGTGTTGTGCTTGCCGTGCTAAACTATGCTAAACTCATTCACTTCAACTCATCAGTCCTCTTATCCTGCCTTATTTTCTAGTGGGGGTGAGAGAGATTACGGGTAAACAGGATAATTTCCAGATATCGGTAAGGTTGGTGGGAAGCAGGCTAGCATAGAGGCTAAGAGCACAGGGACTAGAGTTTGAATCATGCCATTTATAAACTGCATGATCTTGGACAGATTGCTTAATCTATGTTTCAGTGTGCTTACTTGTAAACTGGGGATGATAGTAATAGAATCTACTAGTTAGGGTTATTGGGAGTCTTAAATGAGTCAGTATGTAGAAGTCACTTGGAAAGCTCCCTAGCACCTAGACATTATAAAAGTGTCAGCCATTTTTATTGCTGTGTAATTGACAATGAGTAGGGACAGAGGTGACTCCCTTAATACTAGAAGTGCTATGGTAAACAGCATGCTCTGGAAACTGAGAAAAATTAAGTAAGAAAAATCACACAGTTGGCAACTTGCTTATTAATGAGTTTTGCAGGTAGTAGGTCTTTTTTTTTTTTTTTTTTCTTAAGGTAAATACTGAGGATAGAAATCCTGTTGGTGTTTCATTGGCTGATGCTGAAGGACCAGTGCTTTTAAAAGTTTCTTAGAGAGCAGAAAAAACAGGTGTGGCTTTGCCGCTGAGAGAATCCTTTGAACCACAGAAGCAAGAGGGGGAAAGGGATCTAAACTTTCAGATAATTGTAATTTGACTCAGCCCAATTCATTTATTTATTTAATAAATCTTTGTTGAAGGCCTACTGTGTGCTGGGCTGGGAATTCAGCAGTAAAATTCTGTGGTCTTCTTGAATTCCTCACTTAGCCCTTTGCACCATGGAGCTTTTAGTTTTGTGGTTCCCTCTGCTTGGGATACCTTTGCCTCTGATCTTCCCAAAGCTAGGTCCTTTCTCTTCTGCTAGGCTCAAATGGTAGTCTTCAGAAATGCCTTCCTGAAGGCTGGCCCCGTGGCTCACTCGGGAGAGAGAGGCGCTAGTAGTGCCGAGGCCGCAGGTTCGGATCCTATATAAGGATGGCCAGTGCGCTCACTGGCTGAGCGCGGTGCCGAGGGTTGCGATCCCCTTACCGGTCAAAAAGAAAGAAAGAAAGAAATACCTTCCTGAGCACCTTAGCTAAAGTAATCCCTTCAGTAGGCCAGTCACTCTCTCACATCGATCTGTTTTTCTAGGTATTTATTATTTTGCAAAATCACCTTACCTTTTTCTTGTTTATTATCTTTATCCCTCATTATATCTAAATCGCCTTGACCACCCTGTATCTCTAGTACCTGGAACAATAACTTACACATAGTGGGTATCAGTTATTGTTCTAGGTGCTAGAAATACCGAGACCATTAACTGACAAATAAGAGGTTCATTTGTTGAATGAATGACTGACTGAGGATGACAGTTCCTGCTACCTTCAAGGATCTTATAGTGATATGGAGAAAGAGAGAAGTAAACAGACAACATAGTGTAAATAATATAATGGTCAAAGGTTTGGATCCCTGTACCGGCCAGCCACACACACAAAAAAATCGTTTGTATATTGTGGTAAGGGAAGCACAGAGGAGGGGTGGAGTGTCTAACCTAGACTTGGAGTAGGACCTAGAAGTCTACCCAGGGAAATGAAAATCTAAGCTGAGGTTTGAGGAATCAGTAGGAATTAGCAAAGAGAGGGAATGCTCCAGGTGATAGGAACAGTTTATGCAAAGGTCCTGAGATAGTAAAGAGCATGGTGCTTTGTGAGAACTGAAAATAAGTCAGTATGGGCCAGTGCTACTCCCTCCATTGCCTCTTGCTGAGGGACCCTGCTGAGCACTGCATACACATGTCTGATAGGCACTGTATCCCTTCCCTCTGACTCTACCTTCCACTTGCTCAGTATTCTTGGTGTTTTTCTTCCAGTTGAAAGAAAAATTAGATTTTTTGAAAAAGGAATACAGAAAGAAATTGGCCCGCCTTGAGGTAAGTTAATCTGTCCTCTCAAATTAAGGTGGTGTAGTATAAACTATGTAATGACAGTTCTTGACAGTAATAGAGCTTTAAAGAAAATTTATTTCTTGAGCTGCTTTTGTTTTCTCTAGCGTGCCCAAAGAGCTGAGAAGGTTAAGAATTCTATTAAGAAAACAGGAGAAGAACAAGATTGCTTGCTCCAACAGGAAATCTTACCACACCTAAACCACTCAGGTAAATGTAGCCCATTCACTTGGGCTTGCTTTCTTATTCATTTCCCAGATGTATGTGGCTGTTCTTTTCCCCACAGCCAGGAGATAAGGACTAGCAATAGACTCTTTAATTAACATAAAATTTATATGCCATAAAATTCACTCAATAAATTATACTTTCAATTGGATTGTTTATTCAGTTGCTCTTTTTCTCTCTCAACTATTACAAATTATATTTCATGTTTAAATATTACAAAGATGTGATTTTTTTTAAAAAAATGTAAGTATCTATATATACACAGAGAAAAATACCTGGATGGAAATACCCTAAAAAACAATGGTTAAAGTTGGTGTTAAAATTCAAGTAATTTATAATGATAAAATTAGGTGCTATTGAAATAGGAAAGTGGTATTAAAATCACTTCAGCCACCACCACCCCCCCCCAGAAAAGAAAGAAACACATAGATAAAAAAAAAATTAGGGAGATTAAAAAATTAAGAGAAAACATGATTGCAATAAAGAATATATAATCTTTTAGTTTAAAAACACTTTTTCCAGCACAATTCTATTTGTTCACTTACTTAAAATTCTGCAGTTTACTAGAATTTTTAAAACTTGAACCTTGATCTGTCTAAAAGAAATGCCATCGATTCTTTCTTAAATAAATGTTTGGTAGTACTTACATACAATATTTAAAAATAAATATGGAGTATTTTTTTTGTTTCATTTTAAAAGGAAAATACTAATTACATACATTTTGTTCCTCCTCAGAGCCTAAAAATAAAGTATCTCCTCATGACAAGTTACAAATCAACACCCTTCTTGACAAAGAAACTGGAAAAAAGACATCTGTCACACTTGATGTTGAGGCTGAATACTTTAACTCTGGAGATGGCCCAGAAGAAGGATTACGTGTACAAAAAACAGGTGATATTAAAGTACATTTTTCCTGCAGTGTCAGTGGCCCTGATGGTGAGAAAAGGCAAAGTAAACTGCCAGAGAGAAGAGAGCAGCAGCAGAAGAGAGCATTCATTTCACAGGAGAGAGACTGTATCTTCGACACTGATTCAATAATACTCTCCAGAAAAAGACTAAAGGAACAAGAAGAAATCAATAGCAAAAATCCTAGGTCACCAATAACTGAAATAAGAACTCACCTTTCAAGTCCTGGGTCAGAAATTCTGGATTCTCCAGCATCAGTTACAGAAACTAATGGAGAGAGTGTTTTAATTCCGCCAACTGCCAAACCAGAAAGAGGTGCTGATACACTCTTAAGAGGAAATAATTTCCCCAAGGAGACTACAGTTCCTTTGCATACTTCATCAGATAGCAATAGTAGTCAGCACTTTGAACATATACCTCCTAAAGGTAACTGTGAACTTATTACTCAAGGCTTAAGAAACATTAGCCCTGCTTCACCTGTAAACTTGAAGGCACAAGGCAAAAAAATTACTCTCTTTACTGATAACCCAGTAGTAAATAAAGCTGTAAGTGCAAGTAGCCAACTGCCTAGAAGTCCTAACTTAGAAGCAGATAGATCCTGTTCTATAAATGAACTTACTTATTATAACTTATCAGTAAATGAAAGCCAAAACTTAAAAGAACAGAATCATACAGAGAAGTCTTTAAAATCTGCTGGTAACACTCTTGATGGTAGAAATGAAAGCCTTCAGGAAAATGAGGTTTTAAGTCAATCTGAGGGTGTTAGCCTAGAAGCAATCCCTCCTGTTTCTACAGAAAAGCAAATACATTCTTGCACGGTGCTTGAAGGCCTTCTCTTTCCTGCAGAATATTATGTTAGAACAACACGAAGTATGTCAAATTGCCAGAGGAAAGTAGACCTAGAGGCTGTAATTCAAAGTCATTTGGGTGTCAAGAAGAAAGGATGTAAAAATAAAAATAAGGAAAGATCTAAAAATGTAAACCTTTCCAGTGAAGAAACTGACCAAAGTGAAATTAGGATGTCTAGCACATGCATAGGACAACCAGGTTCAAGAAGTCGTCCTCAGAAACTTCTGTCATTAACTGAAATCAGCTCTCCCACTGGGCCCACTGAAGATAATGACTTTTCTAGGAAGGCAGTTACCTGGCCATCTGGTAAAAGACGAAGGGGAAAAAGAAAGTCAATCACCACCCCAGCATTAGATCATCCTGAACTACTTTTGCCAACTTCTGGCACATCGGGTGTTCACAGATCCGAGGAAGAAATCACTTTGGACAAATATCAGAACAAAAACGCAGTTATTCATGGTAAGAAGAGAGTTAAAGGTAAATCAAGGTGTGTTTGTTGATGATAATGATAATAGCTAACAATTACTATGTGCCTGGTGCCTTCTAAAAGCTGTACAGAATACTAACTCATTAAATGATCACAGCAGGGCTGGCCAGTTAGTGCACTTGGGAGAACGTGGTGCTGATAATATCATGGTCAAGAGTTTGGATCCCTATACCGGCCGGCCACACACACACACACACAAAATCATCACAGCAACCCTACATGAGGTAGAATCTATTTTATGATTCTTTTTTTTTTTTTCCTTGGTGGCTGGCCGGCCTGGGGTTCCGAACCCATGACCTTGGTGTTACAAGGCTGCACTCTAACCAACTGAGTTAACTGGCCAGGCAAGGTAGAATCTATTTTTATCCTCCCTTTATAGATGAGGAAACTTAAGGCATAGGGATATTAAAGTGACTTTAATCAATTTAATTAAAGTGACAGACTTAGGATTCAAAGTTGACAGTGTGGTTCACTAACATGTTTGTATTAGTCCATTTATGTTGCTTATAACAAAATACCTGAAACTGGGTGATTTATAAAGAAAAATGACATTTATTGCTTACAGTTTCTGAGGCTGGGAAGTCCAAAATCCATCCGGTGGTGGCAACAGTGACCCAGGGGTCTCACTTTGCAAGATGGTGGAAGCAGAGAGAGAGACAGACTCTTCTCTTTTTTTTAAAGCCCTCAGAACCGCACCCTAGACCACCACCATTTTTAATCCATTCATTAATGCAAGGTCCTACAATCCAATCTCTTTAAGGCTCCACCTTTCAATTGCCATAATAGGATTTCCCACCTTCTGAACAGTCACAGTGGGGGCTAAGTTTCTAACAACATAAAACTTGGGGGACACAATTCAAGCTTCAGGGAGTTTGGGGACATAATTCAATCCACTACAGTGGTTGAAAAGTTGACAATGAAAAGAAAAATATATTGGGTGTTAACCTAAAATTAGTATTTATGCAGGTACAGCACACTCTTTATGGGTAGAAGCTTTATAACTAACATAGGAAGAGTTTTTGAAGTAAAATGAAATGTCTTAGAGTAAGAATCCACTGACAAACTCTGTTAGAAGTGATCATGTAATAAAAAGGCCTGAGCAACTTTTTAGGATAAAATATCTAATGCAGTCTTTCTTAGGTACGTGCAACATAAGATTATGGAGGATAGCAGGCAAAGATATGTTTTAATTTAAACTTTTTATTCATTTGGAGTTAATTATATCTGATAAACTGAGCACAAAAACAGAACAATTCATTGTGGCTCTAAACTAGGGATCAGCAAACTTTCTGTAATGGGCCAGATAGTAAATATTTAATCTTTGTACTCTCTCTCAACTACTCAACTACAGTGCAAAAGCAGCCATAGGCAATATGTAAATGTGACTGTGTTCCAATAAAGTTTATGTACAAAAATAGGCAGCAGGGCCGGCCCGTGGCTCACTCGGGAGAGTGCGGTGCTGATAACACCAAGGCCCCGGGTTCGGATCCCACATAGGGATGGCCGGTTCGCTCACTGGCTGAGCGTGGTGCTGACAACACCAAGTCAAGGGTTAAGATCCCCTTACCGGTCATCTTCTTAAAAAAAAAAAAAAAAATAGGCAGCAGTTTGCTTTGTACCATTGAACATAGACTTTGGTCTATTAAAAAATTAATTTTTAGGAGCTGGCCCATGGCTCACTTGGGAGAGTGTGGTGCTGATGGCACCAAGGCCACGGATTTGGATCCCTATATATGGATGGCCGGTTAGCTCACTTGGGAGAACGTGGTGTTGAAAACACCAAGTCAAGGGTTAAGATCACCTTACTGGTCATCCATCTTTTTTTTAAAAAAAAAGAAAAAAATAATTAATTTTTTAAAAACAATCCTGACTGCTTTCATCATCTTTTAAGTCAAAAAGAATACAAAGGAATAAAAAGTAGACAATCCACTAATAATCCAGAAACATCCTTTTTTGTTCTTTGAAATAATCTGCTGTTATTTTAGTAACCTGCAGCTACATTTAAAATCTTTATTTTTGTGAGTTGACATTCACATAACATAAAATTAACCATTTTAATTTGTGGACAATTTAGTGGCTTTAGTACATTTACACTGTTGTGCAACTGCTACCTCTGTCTAGTTCCAAAACATTTTTATCAGCCCAAAAGGAAACCCCATACCCGTTAAACAGCTGCTTCCCATTTCCTCTCCCCACCCCTGGGCCTGGGCAACCACCAATCTGCATTCTATGTGTTTACCTACTCTGGATATGAATGGAATAGTGTTTTCCAGTCACATCCACATTGTAGCATGTATCAGTACTTCATTCTTTTTTATGGCTGAATAATATTCCACTCTGTGTGCACCACAGTTTGTTTATCCATTCATCGGTTGGATACAGCTACATTTTGAATAATACAGGATGCTAGTCGCAATAAGAGCAGTAAATTACTCTTTGCCTGGAAAGGGAACTAAGTTTTCTTTAGTGAGAAGAGCCAGTGTTTTGTTGAATGTACTCTGGTAGTCTCTTGGAATCATAGTTTTAGAGATGGGAAGGACTTTAGAGATTTTTAGTCTGTTTCCCTTATGAGGGACAATAAGAGAGGAGGGCATATGAAGTGTATTGACTTACCCAGGGTTACACAGCAAAATCAATGGCGGAGCTGGGACTCAACCCCAGTCTTCCTTCTCCCAGTTAATGTTGTCAGCACCACTCCATTTGGCGTACCACAAAAGGCTAGTTGCTAGTTAACACTAACCTATGACCTTTTTTTTTTTAAAAGATGACCGGTAAGGGGATCTTAACCCTTGACTTGGTGTTGTCAGCACCACACTCACCCAATGAGCTAACCGGCCATCCCTATAGGGGGTCTGAACACATGGCCTTGGTGTTATCAGCACCACACTCTCCCGAGTGAGCCAGGGGCCAGCCCTATGACCATTTTTTGAACCCTTAACTCAGATTTCAACATCATGAATGGAAAAAGTAATGAACATTTTTCACTGTATTTGGGTTTAGAAGCTCACTCTTTGTTGGGTTTTATTGTCTCTTTTGTTGGGTTTTATTACTACTATTCTCCCTTATTTTTCTATTTTAGGGCAAGAAGATCATTGTCAAAAAAAGGACTCCCTTTCTTCCAGTAATAGTACTTATTTAGCTTTGGATGATGATGCTTTCAGTGCTCCATTTCATAAGAGTGAAACGCTGAGTTTAAAGCAAACGTCATCTTTTCCTAATATTACAGACTTTCAGTTACCTGATGAAGACTTTGGGCCTCTTAAGCTTGAAAAATTGAAGTCCAGCTCAGAAAAGCCAGTTGAGCCTTTTGAATCAAAAATGCACAGAGAGAGGCATCTTAAAAAGAGAAATTGTATTGGTCTGGAGGAACTGTTTCCTAAACCTATACATACAGAGTTGGAGGACTTGGACCAGGAACCAAAAGCATATCCTAAGATGCCAAACCTGAAAAGCAAGCCTACAAAGAAGGGCCTTTCTTCATCCATATTACTTTTCACTCCTTTAAATACCATTGCACCTGATGACCGACCTAACACAGACATGTGTTCACCTGCTTTCCCCATCTTAGGTACCACTCCAGCTTTTGGCTCCCAAACATACTCTGAAAAGGTGTGTACAGAGGTTGTTGGACAGACTTACTCTACACCCCAGCTCTCTCATCTGAAAGACACAGTCAGACTTGCTAGTGATAGTAAACAATGTGACAGTTCAACCATCCCACCAAAACTGGATACGAGCCTGCATGTGTCGGGTAGGCAAGAGCAACCAGCCTGTGACTGTGACTCTGGCCCCCAAGCAACATCTCTACCCATTGAGTCATTCACTTTGCAAGAAACTCAGCTCTGTGGAAATACATGCCTGGAGTTGCATAACCATTCTCTTGAAGAGGTACAATCCGTTTCCTTTGTGAAAGTTTTTAAATTTTATCTGAAGTACTGAAATGTCTTAGTGAATGTGAACAGCATGACTTTCTTATACATCGGCCCCTGATATTTAAGAATGTTTTAACGTGTTGCTTTGATACGACTTCATTATAAACATTAAGCTCATTCTGGGGAAATTAAGGTTAATTAAAATATATTTTTTACCTTTGGGGAATCCTGTTCAAATCAATGAAGTAGTTGCATGTAGAGCTTTGTTAGCAGAGGAAATAAAACCATATGAAGTAGACATTTTGATGAGTGAGTGATGCAGGCAGATATACACGAAGTGTAGATTAATAGTGTGACTTGTTTCCACAGATTGAAGTAGCAGATCTTCCTGCTGGTGACAGCTTAAAGTCAATCAACCTACAATTGGTGTCACAGTTAAAGGTCAGATGGATATTCCCTTATAATGTGCCTTAACATTAATTAAAAATTTAATGAATTAATAAGAAAATTGAAAAGAATTCAATAATATATTGTAGCTTATAGTTCTTTATTTAATACTATTCAATAAATTTGTAAACAGATTTAGAAAAACAGATTTGAATTCTCTATTTTTCTCAATATTTACCTGTATTTATATTTTGAGCTCTTTTCCTGAAGTTTATATGTCAAGCTGTTGCCAAGAAAAATTTAAGCTAAATAATTCAACTTCGTATCTAAATTTAGATTGGGCATTTTGACAGAGTTAAGACAGGAGTCATTCGTGCCTCTCCTATCCAAATGATATATGTTTCCAGAAGAATCACTTATGGTGATTTATAAGAAAATGGTTAGCAGTTCTTGATTTTTTAAGATTTTGGGTCTTGGGGGGTAGGCAACTGGCTGGTAAGGAGATCGGAACCCTTGACCTTGGTGTTACCAGCACACACTCTTCCAAGTGAGCTAACCGGCCAGCTCTATTTCTTGATTTTGATATAGTGAATGGTTAATTTTTCTCTGTGCTATGTAATAACCAAAAATGTCTTCAGACATTGCTAAATGTCCTCCTCAGGGGTGGGGGTGGGGGTGCAGAATCTCTCCCAGTTGAGAACCCTGATATAGAGGAAAAGCCTCAAATCCACATAAAGTACCAGTTACTGGCTGGGTGACCTTGGACAAGTTATTTAGCCTCTGAGCCAGATTCCTTTTCTATAAAAGGTACATAATATGTAATACCCATGCACTGTTTCAAAACTATTCCTGAGTCAATTTGCTTTATTTTTGGCGGCTGGCTGGTACAGGGATCTGAACTCTTGACTTTGATGTTATCAACACAATGCTGTAACCACCTAAGCTAAACAGCCAACCCTTTGAGTCAATTTTAATTACTTAGTTTCTTAAGGAATCAACCATTTCTTTCATATTTTCAAATTCGTAGGTAAAAACTTATTATAGATTTTTTTTCATCTGTGTATATTTAATTAAGCCTCTCTTCCCTCTTTCCCCCATTTCTAAAAGTATTTTTTTTTCCTACATCAGACTTAAGAATGGGATGTTTAGTTTTCAAATGGATAAGTTCTTATGGGCTATCTTTTTGTGGTTAAATCTGAATTTATTCCATTCTGGAGCTATACATCTTTAAATCTATCACAATGTAAGTGTGTATAGGCAACTTTTTTTAGTTACATGAGACCAACAAAACTGTTTCTTTTTACATTCATAAAATTGTAATTTCACTTACCTGGTATTTTGTCTAATCCTTGTAATTCATCACTTTTCATATTTTTTTCTTTTCATAAAACAGACCTCAAGTACTCTTTAACATAACTGTTATTGTCATCCTGTGTCAGAATCCCTCAGGTTCCTGTTCTGTGGATGTGAGTGCCATGTGGTGGGAACAAGCTGGTTTTAAAGAGCCATGTATCGTAACTGCTTGTGAATATGTAGTTTCTCTTTGGAAAACTCTGGACTCTTGGCAGTGGAAAAAAATTTATACCTGGCACTTCACAGAGGTAAGTCAGAATCCTAGAGCTGAAGAGACTTTGTAGTCATTTGCATACAGTCATTTGCAACTTACCAGAATTGGAATCTGTGCCCATGCAAGGCAAAACAGGGAGGTGAGGTTTTTCTCTAACATTTTACTATGAAAATTTTCAAACATACAGAAAAGTTGTACAGTGCATACCCATATATCCACCATCTAGATTCTACCATTAACATTGTGCATTATTTGCTTTATCATGTGTTTATCTAGAGATGGATTTTTACACTAGACCTGTTGGAGGAGCTTGGAATTTCATGTCTATTCTGACTTCCAAACTTGCTGATACTTACATTACTTGCCCTTCACCAAAACATTATTTCTGCTTCATTTCTATAAGTATTTCCTTCTACATACATATCTTACATGGTTGCAATCCTAGTGTGCTTAAAATTTTTATTTTTTATTATTATTTTTTTTTCTCCCTTTTTGCCTTTTTTTCGTGTCCGGCAACAGATCGCAACCCTCAGTGTCACGCCCGTACCGGACCGGGACCGGCTACGGGATCGCAACCCTCAGTGTTGCTCCCACACCCGCTCAGCCAGTGAGCGGCCGGTCTGCATGTGGGATCCGAACCCTCGGCGGGAGCGCCACCGCGCTTCCTAAGCGGTGCACTGTAGCAGTGCGCCACCGGGCCGGCCCAGTGCTTAAAATTTTTAAATCTGTCTTTTCTCACTTAGCATATAAACATTTTTTCCTGTCTCTGCATATTCTTCATACTTGTTTATACCTCATTCTTGTTCTCTGCTATATCCACAACTTAGTGCTGTGCTTTACACAGAGGTGCTCAATAAATATTTATTCAGAGAATAAACATATCATTTTAAATGGCTGCATAATATTCTCTTCATTCACATGCCAGAATCTACTTAATTATTCCCCTATTAAAGTGTAGATTGCATTAAATAAATGCTAAGTAAATACTATAATGCATATAGCTTATTTGGATTTACAGCTTATAAAAAGAGGGTGTTTTTCGAACCTTCTCATATTTGTTCAAATGTTGGAAACTATCCTAGTACAGTGAGAATACAAAAGAATTTGATAAATTTGGGAAAATTTAGATTAAAAATGAAACAACCAAGGATAATTTTTGGCTGCTTTGTTTTACTTAGGTTCCAGTATTACAAATAGTTCCAGTGCCTGATGTTTGTAATCTTGTGTGTATAGCTTTGGGAAATTTGGAAATCAGAGAAATCAGGTGTGTAATTCCCAGGGAGTGATTTATTTTTTTACCCTTTACCTTTTTCTCTGTCAGCTTGTTTTGATTGCGCGTTATATCCTAGGCTTAAGACTTCGAATCTGTATTTAGGTCTATGGAGAGATTTGTTTTAAAAAAAATCAGTAGATGGGCTGGCTCTGTGGCTCACACGGGAGAGTGCAGCACTGCTAGCACCAAGGCCGTGGGTTCAGATCCTATATAGGGTTGGCTGGTGCACTCACTGGCTGAGTGTGGTGCAGACCACACCGTGCCAAGGGTTGCGATCCCCTTACCGGTCAAAAAAAAACAACAGGGGCCGGCCCGGTGGCGCACTGGATAAGTGCGCCGCTTGGGAAGCGCGGCGGCGCTCCCGCCCGAGGGTTCGGATCCCACATGCAGACCGGTTCCCGCTCACCGCCTGAGCGAGGCGCAGGAGCAGCACCGAGGGTTGCAATCCCGTTGCCGGTCCCCGGTCCGGTACGGGGGCAACACTGAGGGTTGCGATCTGTTGCCGGACAGGAAAAAAAAAAAAAAAAAAAAAAAAAAAAAAAAAAAAAAACCAACAGAAAAACAGTAGAATAACATCCCTGACTGAAATTTCTATTTAAAATCTGAACCTGGTCCTTTAATATTAAAGACAAACTTCTGACTTCTCCCCATTTTTTCATATATTTGGTTTAGGACATTGCTTTGTTCCTCTGATGATGAAAGTGAAAAGCAAGTACTACTGAAATCTGGAAATATAAAAGCTGTGCTTGGCCTGACAGAAAGGAGGCTAGTCAGTAGCAGTGGGACCCTTTGTGATCAGCAAGTAGAAATCATGACATTCGCAGAAGATGGAGGGTAAGAAAAGCATTGGTTGATTTTAACTATTAAATAAAGAATGATTTTATCACAAGTTTCAGAGAAAGTTGGATTACTAGTATCTTGTGTTTCTGTGCTGTAGGCATTGTATGGCAGGTACTGCCTCAACACTGGGTTAGAGAGATGAAAGCCAGGCATGGTAGGGAAGAAGTCAGTTGAGTGGAGAGCCTCAGTAAATGTAATTTCTTCTTTCTTCAGTCTTCCTTGAAATCTCTATGTGTCCCTTAAATATTAAAAGTACTGCAGATTCCTAGATCATGTCCTTGTTCCACACTTTGTGTCCATTGCTTCAGTGACCATCTAGATGCTGACTGCTTGCAAACATACATTTCTAGCACTGAGCTCTTTCTCAGCCTCTTTATTAGACATCTTGCAGACACCTCAAATTCAACATGTTGAAAACTGAACTCAGGCTGGCCCGGTGGCGCACTCGGTAGAGTGCGGCGCTTGGGAGCGCAGCAGCGCTCCCGCCGAGGGTTCAGATCCCATATAGAGACCGGTCCGCTCACTGGTTGAGCGCGGTGCGGACGCGACACCAAGGGTTGCGATCCCGTTGCCGGTCACGAAAAAAGACAAAAAGGGAAAAAAAAAAAAACTGAACTCATAGTATCCTCTCTATCATATACTTGTTACATTTTTTATGATTATTTATCTGTCTTTCCTAGTAACGGAGGTCAGGGACCTTTTTTGTTTTATTTTTTCATGAACTATTGCAGCAACCTAGGCAACAGACAATTGTTTGCTTAAATTAGAAAAGTGTTCATGGAGATGGGAGGACACAGACAGATTTGTAAGAGATGAGATGATAAAACTACTAGGATTTGGTGATTGACTGGATCAAGAGAAAGGAGACAAGGTAATGTCCAGATATCAGGATTGATCACCTGGATAAATGGTGGTGCAGTTCATTGAGACAGGAATCCAGAAACAAATAAGAGTTTAATGAGAAAGTAGGTAAGTTTAATTCCAAATTCCAAAATGATGAATTTGAGGTGCTTGCAACATATCCAAGTAGGTAATGCGAAAGTAATACATGTTCACTGTAGAAAGCTTAGAATACACATTTTCTGTTCTAATTTTTTTTTTCTGGTATTAGGGTAGTTTTCATTATGCAGAGTTCAATAATATGTAGAAGAGTTTTGGTGCCAAAATACTGATTTTTAATACTATTTTAAATGCAGAAGCAAAGAAAAACAGTTTCTGATGCCTGCTGAAGAGACTATACTAACTTTTGCTGAGGTCCAAGGGATGCAGGAAGCTCTGCTTGGTACTACTATCATGAACAACATTGTTATGTGGTAAGCTTTCCCTTTAAGTCTTCAGTTTCCTCATCTGTAGTGTGAGGCTATACCTCTAATTTTACAGAGTTGTTGTGAAGATTAGATAAGAGACTATGTGTAAAATGATTGTGTTTTGTTTTCTTACTGTCAGAGGCTATATACTTGCCTTATCAAGAACATCATATTAATTCAGACATTGTGAAAAAGATCAATCTGAGTAGACTATTTTAAAATAAATAGAATTCTGTTATCAAAAATGTATAGTTGTTTCTGCTTCTGGTTAATGGCTGAGTAGCCTTTATCAGACCAACTCTCCAACCTCAAATAACTATAAACTCTGGACAACATACAAAAAACAACTATCTGAAAGTACCAAGAGCAAGAAAAAGAAGATAGATATTGGAAGGGTTTCTGCACTTGGAAGAAAGAAATGGCACAGGGCAAGTTTCCCATTCTTATGTCTTTAAGCCAGAGGGCAGGCCTCAGTCTGTCCACTGGGTAACTAAAAGCCTAATAGAAAATCTTTTGTCTTGGGCCGGCCCGGTGGCGCACTCAGTAGAGTGCGGTGCTTGGGAGCGCAGCGGCCCTCCCGCCGAGGGTTCGGATCCCATATAGAGACTGGTCCGCTCACTGGTTGGGTGCGGTGCGGGCGCGACACTGAGGGTTGCCATTCCGTTACCGGTCACGAAAAAAGACAAAAAGAAAAAAAAAAAAAAAGAAAATCTTTTGTCTTATTGGCCTAAAGAACCGAAGGACAAAGTTCAGGGTAACCACAGCAGCTGGAAAGTCAGGGAGAAAATTTCCGAAAATGAGAGAGCCAAAAAAGGAACCCTAAATACTGAGTATAATCTTTGCCTGAATATCTGGCTGACCCTTTAAATTACATGTGCATGGAGCAGACTCCAAGCAGCCCAGGTAAGGCTGAAAGAACTGAACTGGGATTTCAGCGTTCAGAGTTTGAGTTTAGCCAAGTTAACAAACAAACAAACAAATTATTATTCTTCATAGAAACCTAACAGAATCTAGAGTTCTTGCAACCTATCATTATATCTAAGATACAGTCCAAAATTACTAGATATAAAAAAAAAAAAAATGTATTCAAAGGAATCAAATTAACAAATTGTGATTAACAAAAGTTGAGGAGTCCCCAGCCACCTGTTTTCATACTACAGTGAAGAACCATACCCGACCATAGTCATTAACAAGTTTAATTTGTATTAGAGTAGATTGTGTCGGCCCATGGCTCACTCGGGAGAGTGTGGTACTGATAACACCAAGGCCACGGGTTCGGATCCCTATATAGGGATGGCCGGTTAGCTCACTTGGGAGAGTGTGGTGCTGACAACACCAAGTCAAGGGTTAAGATCCCCTTACTGGTCATCTTTTTTATTTTATTTATTTATTTATTTGTTTGTTCGTTTGTCTTTTTTGTGACCGGTAAGGGGATCGCAACCCTTGGTGTGGTGTCGCCCGCACCGCGTTCAGCCAGTGAGCGCACCGGCCATTCCTATATAGGATCCGAACCTGCGGCGGGAGCATCGCTGTGCTCCCAGTGCCGCACTCTCCTGAGTGCACCACGGGGCCTGGGGCCGGCCCCTGCTCATCTTTTTTTTTTTTTTTTTTTTTTTTTTTTTTTTTTTTTTTTTTTTTT